AGATAAGCCATTGATATCTCTCCTCCAGTTCTGACTACTTAGAATCTCTGTAAGCCATTTTCCCGAACATACGAAACTCGGTACTTCCAACTTCGAGATCTTGTCCAATAGTTGTAATCAGTTGTAATACACTACACTACGCACCTTATCATTCTAAACACTAAACACAGTTGAATGCCTTGTAAAAGTTGGAATTCTTCATTGTCTCCAAGAATCCGATAGGTTTTATACGACTGTTTTTCGGAGATATTGCTTTGCGATGATTATCACTTCGGGGTGTCATGAAACTCTTGAATTCTGAGAAAATACACAATGTGTTTCAATAATCTCCAGACCAGATATTGCTTCGTGCCTTGAAATAATTGAAATCCTTTTTAGACGCAAAATTCAACCGCATCTCTCTCAAGACTTATCAAAATATCAATTTAAAAAGTTTCGCATTTCGTGGTCGTTTATAATCCTTGGCATACCACATAATTTCCTCTCCTTTTCACTACTCTGCAGAGATAGAACTCGTTCCATGTACATCAACTCACGGAGCTATTGATTTGGTCCTAGAGCAAGAAGGAAAAAGCTGAATTTTGATTTACGAGATTGACTTGATTGACAGTGATTATCCACTTTCTTTTATATCGAGAAAACATCAGTCCGAGTTCTTTTTCGACCAATATAATATTTTTATGACTGAACAACAGGAAAATACTGTGACCCTACATGTAAATTTTGATACAAAACTTGAATATACAAATGACAAAAAAACGAAATAAACTTCAGTCATATTTTTAGCGAGGAAAATAAAAGCAGATTAAATCTCTGGTGTCCGTTAAAATTACCTTCCAAAAGTTTATTTAACACCTCGAAAAGACAAGATGAGATTCGAATATGAAGAACTCAAATGGAAATATATTTTTAGTTGTGTTAGTCATAACACGTTTTAAACGATCTAATGACAAAGTAGACTTGTCACTTGAAAGAAGCCAAGCAGCTGTCTGTTTATGTAAATATTTTTTTGTACCATTAATGTTGACGATAAAGTACCACTTAGCCAACGTTGGATTAATAGAATCAAAAACTCGCATTCCTTGAAAATTAGTCGAACTAACATTGCAAAGATGATCAGATAGATAATCTTCATCATCACCGCCATCGATTGAATCTCCATTATCGGCGTCATTTTCGGTAGTATCCACTCCTTCACAGCTGCTGTCATCTGAATCTGAGTTAAAGTCTGGATCGTGTTCGTTAAGATGTGAATAATCGACTATTTTTGATTTTTGAAGTTGAACGCTAGCCAATTTTGTCATTTTTTCGAATGATGAAATTTGATGTGGTTGATACATATTCAAGTCACACACAAGATGGCTAGCATAAGAATACGCTTGTAAAATAGTATTCGCAACTGCTTCAACTGTGAGATCTATAGTAGAAGATGATGATAAAGAAGATATTTGTTTGGAATCGATGGTCTTAGACTGTTTATGATGGCATGGAAATAAAAAGCCCTTACTTGTA